TCTTGTCCCCTGTAATGTGAAATAACTAGAGCAGCAAAAGTTCTTGAGACTCTCCAGAACCTATTAAACATTATTTTTTAAGATAACATCTTTCCTTGTTCTTCATTCATGAACTTTTGAATTTCCAAACGTGTATGAATGTTTGATCAGGAAATGGCTGCAAAAAGCTTCAAATCCCCATTGAATAATGTGTTCTTAAAGGTAGCTGCCAAGTGCAAATACCGTGGATATACATTCATGCATACGATAGTATATAAATAACCGGGGAGAGCAAAGCAAAGGCCAATCGATGATGTATAGGTCAGAACGCTTTCCATCTGGATGGAGTCATTTTAGCAAATGACATCATGTGTCCTTTTGAGTCTGCTGTGAAATGTGGCTTGAGTCATTACAGATTGGCCTCCTCTCTGGGTTACCGGGATGGCAGCCGTGAGGCTCGATAAATGAATGCATTGGATGCAGCAGGAGCAGATTTGCATAATTAGGGGACAGTGAGGAAGGCTTCTCATTCTGCAGAAAACCTCTGGGGCCCGTCCACCAATTTCTAGTTTCTTATCCTTATCAGTTGACTTTTTTTTTTTTTTTTTAAGGACTTAAAGACGAGGGAGTTGGACCTGAGCCAGGTGCTCTTTCTGGAGCTGCGGTGGGTGACTGTGCATGGGATCGTGAGCAGGTAATCAATAGCAATGAATCTGTCACCCTTCTAATCTCTTCTAACGTCGCCATTGCTCTTCTGGGTGGGGCTTCTTGGACCCCCGTAGGTTTGGTTTAGAATTTCTACTTTGATCTGACGGGTGGCAGTCACACCAGCGAGACCCTCGAGTGACTAGCAGGACAGGATGCTGTACGAGAGGGGGAAGGATGCTGGCATTTTCCAATTGGCACAACAGGAACTGGATTTAGCTTATAGACCAAGTGATAAGAGGAGCTGCCAAGTCCGGTTATTTCTGATTAGTCAGGGCTTCAGGAGGTAAATGTTACTTGACAGAATTTAATGTGTGATTTTTTTCCCCCTCCCTTCTGGATATTTTGGAAATGTTAAAAAGTTGTTGACTTTTTTTTTAAGTAGGATAGGTTGGAATGAAGAAGGGCTTTCAGTCAAAATTGCTGTTGTATTTATAGGCATTTATAGTTGCAATCTTTTTTTTTTATTTTTCTTTTCTTTTTTTTAAGATCAAGAATGTAACCAGATATGGTTGCAATCTAAGTCTGGTTGTGAGCCCTTGGGAGGAGGAAGGCTTGGACATTCTCAGCGAAGATGAGAGGGAGTGGTCCCTGCCCTTAGGAAGCCTATAGTCTAGTGGGAAGAAGACAGGCATGCAAATGGGTTACCACGGTATAAAATGATAGCTTCTATTCTGTGTGGTATGCACGAATCCAAACAGTATTGATATTTTTGTGTTGATAACTTAAATGATATTATTATTCTTCACTTATTTATTTCGGTTATGAGTATTGGCTAAGAAACATACCTGCACTTGTTCTTATTTTCCAGTTATAATGAGAGTGAACTTTCAGCTTTTAGGATGGCTACTTTAGGGGGAGCAAAATTTTGTCTTTACTCTCTTGGTGTTTTTTTTTTTTTTTTTTTTTCTTGTCTTATCTTTATTGTTTTTTATTTTTTTCTTTCTTTTTTTTTTCACTAGGCATGTGAAGGAATTGTCTTTAGAATTAAACATACATAAGACAGGAACACAAGAAAAGCATGCAAATTTATTTTATGTGAGTTTTGCATGACGCAAGAGCCATCGTAATGAAATGAAGACTCAAATGAAGACTCAAAGGAGTGGCAGCAAAACCAAGGTGGTTTTATATTTGGTCAAACAAGGAAAGACAATTGTGGAAAAGTAACTGAACCTATGTGGGGAGAGTGAAGGAAAATAAGAACTATTTTTGATCAGCTCTATTTGTGCAGAATTCTCTCGGTCTCAGCATCCTGTCCTGGATAACATGTGGCTGACTTTCCTTCTGGTTTAGGGAGGACACCTTCCATAGGGGGGTTTTATCTCCTGTTTCCGGGAGGTAAAACAGGAGGACCAGAGAGCCCTTCTTGCACCTGCCATTTTTTCTTTCTTTTATTTTTTTAAATGCTTTTAGCTTAAAATAATCCTTATACTAAAGTGGCATATTTGGGTGTGGCATGTACTTCCGCTCTTTGGTACCTTGTTTTGGCCATTCAGAGGCAACGTGGCTGCTCTGTTCTGGAATGGTACCTGCTGTTCTGCACGTGACCCAAAGTCTTAACTCTGTTTCAGTGAAACTCCATGGATTCATACGGACCATTCTTAGAGCGTGTCTACATGGATCCCAGGAGACATGGTTAAAAGGTGAATAAATAGGTCAGGTTGTCATTGACTTCTCAGGTTGCCTGTGTACCTAACAGCCGATTGCACTAGCTTGTTTTCTTACCCCTGCTATCGTGGTTGGCTGAGATTACTATCCGTGGTCATGGATCTATTAATTGATTCAGTGTGGTACAGATAGACAAAAACTGGAACCTTCTCTGCCCCATTCAAAGAGAACTTTCCCTTGATTTAGGGGAAATAGCCCTATTTGCTGTAAGTGCTTGTTAATGAAGAACAAAGTCTAGCTCCTGTTTTTTGGTTTTTTTGTTTTGTTTTGTTTTGTTTGGCCCCATCCAATTCATCCTTCTTAAACATTCCTACCAGAGTACTTTTTCTCATCTTCTATCCAGATGTGCATGATTATAAGCATAGGGTAGGGTGCTAAAGGTCATTAGCGGTCAAGAGACCTGCATTCAAGTTCTCGTTTCACCACTAATTAAATGGGTAATATTAATTATTAAGGCAAGATGTTTTACTTCACTGGGTTTTTCTCTTTATTTAGTTGTTTAGGTTCCTCTTGGTCATGGGCTATCTCAATGTTTGGATTCTCAATGCCTTAGGTAGTACCTGGCACCATAGTAGATCTTAAATGTTCCCTGACTAGAAAATGGGAATATTTATAACAACAAACAGCGTATGTTGCAGAGAATGAAATGGTTAATAGTGTTCAGCCACTCTAAGAATCCTATCATTGTCATGTTTTCTTTGCGCTCTTGTTCCTTGGATGAGTTGAGTCTCCAACTCACACCCTTCAGCAGATTTCTTCTGAAGGATATTAAACCTCTTTGTTTCTTGATCTAGTTTTCTTTCTTTTCCTTATTAGAAAACAGTACATATTTATGATATAAAATGTAAAAGCTACGAACAAGCAAAATGATAAAAATAGAATCGCCTGTGTATCAGGAATGTGTTCAGCTGCAAAGTAAAGAAAATCCAACCAAAGGTGGCTTCCTCCAAGTCTTTGGAGAACAGGATGGAGCTGACATTTTGGTCTCTTTCTTCTACTGTTCTTACCGTGTTGTTTTTTGTCTCCAAGGACATGGTAAAGCTATTACTCCTCTAGGCATGATGGTTGCATTAGGAAGGTAAAGGATAAACACAAAAAGGGGACCTGTTAAATGAATCTGCCCCTTTCAATCAGGAACAACAACAACAAAAAAACCCCAACCTAGCAGACTTCTTGCTTAATGTCTCATTTTCTAAAACACCCTCAGCTGCAAGGAGTGCTAGAGAGACAGGATCGTGAGTGGAAGATGGTCAATCAATGTTTGCCAAACTTGCAGTCTTATTAACCACACAGAACTTTGTCGATAGATATGGAAATATAATATCTATTGTTGTTTCAATGTTGTTTTTCTCCGTAATAATACCACAAATCTTTCTTCATGTTATTAGATATTCCACCCATAATTTTCAATGTCTGCCCTCCATGTTTCCTTGAAAATAAAGGTGATTTTAAATTTTGGTTTTAAAAAGCTGCTTAATTTAGCCATGAGTATTATGGTGAAAAGAGGTCAAGTTAATTTGATTGGTATATAAGATACAACCTTCCCTATTTAATCATATTATTAGAACAAATCCATTTAGTTTATAGTGTTTGCCTGGAGTACTTGTTGGAAAAGTATTTTGGGTCTATGCCAGGGTTTTATGGTTAATAATTCAGCGATCGCTATTGATGTCTGCCCTGAGTATGCCTCATGGGAACAAGAACATACCTGTTACATGTATCTGTCTTCGCTAATCTAGGGTCTCTCTCTGCCTCTCCTCCTATGATTATCTTGGCACTCTCTTGATCATGTGGATATTTCTAACTTGTAGCTAACCTCTTTTGGGAAACAAATTTATAGTTAATTCTAAAATCTAAGAACATCACATAGTTGTGCTCTTTTCTCTGGCTCTTGTTGTGTCTCTGCTTACCTGCACACAGTCGACACTTTTTCCCTTAATGTCTAGAACATTCATTCCTTCTGCAAAGCATATTTCATTCACCATCATTACTGAGCCCAAACTGGAAACTGATAGATGTCCTTAGTTATCCTCAGTTTCAGGGTTTTGAACTCAGCTTTCCATAGATAGATCTTGTCCCTGTAATGTGAAATAACTATAGCAGCAAAAGTTCTTGAGACTCTCCAGAACCTATTAACATTATTTTTTAAGATACATCTTTCCTTGTTCTTCATTCATGAACTTTTGAATTTCAAACGTGTATGAATGTTTGATCAGGAAATGGCTGCAAAAAGCTTCAAATCCCATTGAATAATGTGTTCTTAAAGGTAGCTGCCAAGTGCAATACCGTGGATATACATTCATGCATACGATAGTATATAAATAACCGGGGAGAGCAAAGCAAAGGCCAATCGATGATGTATTAGTCAGAACGCTTTCCATCTGGATGGAGTCATTTTAGCAAAATGACATGATGTCCTTTTGAGTCTGCTGTGAATGTGGCTGAGTCATTACAGATTGGCTCCTCTCTGGGTTACTGGGATGGCAGCCGTGAGGCTCGATAAATGAATGCATTGGATGCAGCAGGAGCAGATTTGCATAATTAGGGGACAGTGAGGAAGGCTTCTCATTCTGCAGAAACCTCTGGGCCCGTCACCAATTCTAGTTTCTTATCCTTATCGTTGACTTTTTTTTTTTTTTTTTTAAGGACTTAAAGACGAGGGAGTTGGACTGAGCCAGGTGCTCTTTCTGTAGCTGCGGTGGGTAACTGTGCATGGGCTCGTGAGCAGGTATCAATAGCAATGAATCTGTCACCCTTCTAATCTCTTTCTAACGTCGCCATTGCTCTTCTGGGTGGGGCTCTTGGACCCCGTAGGTTTGGTTTAGAATTTCTACTTTGATCTGACGGGGAGCAGTCACACCACGAGACCCTCGAGTGACTAGCAGGACAGGATGCTGTACGGAGAGGGGGGAAGGATGCTGCATTTTCCAATTGGCACAACAGGAACTGGATTTAGCTTATAGACCAAGTGATAAGAGGAGCTGCCAAGTCCGGTTATTTCTGATTAGTCAGGGCTTCAGGAGGTAAATGTTACTTGACAGAATTTAATGTGTGATTTTTTCCCCCTCCTTCTGGATATTTTGGAAATGTTAAAAGTTGTTGACTTTTTTTTAAGTAGGATAGGTTGGAATGAAAAGGGCTTTCAGTCAAATTGCTGTTGTATTTATAGGCATTTATAGTTGCAATCTTTTTTTTTTATTTTTTTTTCTTTTTTTTAAGATCAAGAATAACCAGATATGTTGCAATCTAAGTGCTGGTTGTGAGCGCTTGGGAGGAGGAAGGCTTGGACATTCTCAGCGAAGATGAGAGGGATGGTCCCTGCCTTTAGCGAAGCTTAATTTTTCATGAATGCTCTAGTTGAATTAGAACAAACTTTTGTGATCATGGAATAGGATATTCTAGTTGACTGTTAGATACCTTTGGACTATTCTGGTTGCATTAGCATCACAAAATCTTGTTGTCATTGAGTAGGGTTTTGACTGTTTTGCCCTCAGGGGTGAAGCCTTCCATAAGTAGTTAATTCCCTTGTTGTGTTATTATATTGAGATGCTACTGACCTGGAATAGAACTGACTTGGAATAACCTAGAAAGTTACCTTACTTTTTAATTTCGGTGTCTTAAGAAAAGTACTGTATTATATTTTGCATTTATATTTGGAGCATAATCCCAAGAACTACTATCCAACTTAAGAACTGTAACGTTACCATCTACTCGTGTGTTCCTTCCTTATCTCATCTTCTTTTAATTCCAACAGCAACCATTGCACTAAGTGAATAGATGTACTGGATGAATTTTTAATTCATCTTTCCCTTGCTTTTCTTTCCTCATTTTCAAATAATTTTGCCATATATATATATATATATATATATATATCACTAAACAAGATATATTTTAGTTTTTGAGTGTTAGAAAAATGGCTTTATGTCACAGGTGACTGCTTCCCGACTTCTTCACATCATGGCATGCATTGAACTTGAAAATATTGGAGAGCACCCTGGTGTAAATGCTCATGCCTCCCTGCAAAACTTTGGCCACTCCAAGTACGATTCACCCCCGGAACTAAGGGGATCAGTATATTAGAACCCTAGTAACCCACTTAATGACATACACCACTTGGAAATCACTGCTGGATGTAGTCGTCTATATGTGTTGTTTCCACTTGGATTTTTGTTTCTGAGATTTGTCCCCATAGTTGCATGTGGCTATCCTTCATTCCCTTTCACTGCTGTATAATATTCCCGTGTGTGAACATACAAGCATTGTCATCTTATGTTGTTTTAGACCTCCTCTTTGCTTTTCAGTTACACTGGGGATCATGCCAGCCCACCGTGACTTACAGAAAACCGTCTGATTTGATTTAGTATTTTCTTAGGATTCAAAGGAGATCTGTTTACTCCCCTGAGCCCAATCTTCTCTGCAGCCTCTTCTTACAGCTGCTTGGCTGCCAGGATTTCAGCCCGACATGCCTGCAGTACCTGCTGGCAGAGGAATTATGAGATCAACCACCTTCTCGGCCCATTTGACAACCTTTATACAAAAAGAAACACGATAATCTGGGAGAAAGTATATTTTCAGGCAGGAGAATTCTGAAAATTAACATATCTGCAAACTTCTACATTCCCCTTAACCAGACCTGGAAAAGTTAACATTAATTCATTGTAACTAGACTGATTTAAATTGATGCCATATCAGAAATGGGTCACTTCCTCCTCCTCCTTGCCTCTCTCTAAATTTACCAATTGCTTTTCTGGTTTACCAAATCAATTATGATATTTTTCATCTCGCAGATATAATCTAAGCTACTGGGTTATTGAAAATTCTTCTTCCAGACTCTGTTGAAAAGAGTACCTAAATATCTGCGTATTATTTTATATCATTGCTACTTGCAGATTTTTTTAAAAAAAATCAGATCAAAAAGAAAGAAAAAGTTCAAAGGAGTTTAGAAAAGACATATCTATAAGAATGTTCAGCACTGCATCATGTATAACAGTAAAAGTTGGGAAATCTAAATGTCAAACAAAAGATTGTTCAAATTAATTGTGGTATAGTCATAAAGTAGGGTACACTCAGGCCCCTGGTAACAATGTTTGGTCAATGACAGATCACATAGACAATGTGGTCCGTGAGATTATAGTGCAGCTGAAAAATTCGTCTTGCCTTAGTGATGTTGTAGTCATCATAATGTCATAGAGCAATGCATTACCTTTTCTGTGTTTAGCTATGCTTAGATACACAAATAGGTCCCATTGTGTTACAACTGTCTACAGTATTCAGTACAGTAACATGCTGTGCAGGTTTGTAGCCTAGGATCAATAGGCTATCCTGTATAGGCTAGGTGTGTAGTGGGCTATAATACCGTCTAGGTTGGCGTGAGTACACTATACCATGTCTGCACAATATCACTAAGATGCATTTCTTGTAAAGCAGCACCTGACTGTCCTACCATGTTCCCCAAAAATAAGACCTACCCATAAATAAGCCCCAGCAGGATTTCTAAGCATTGTGCACAGTAGAAGCCCTACCCCGAAAATAAGCCTAGTGCTGGGCGTGGCTATGAAATAAGCCCTGGTGATGGCGTGGCTATGAAAATAAGCCCTGGTGATGGAGTGGCTATGAAAATAAGCCCTAGTGATGGCGTGGCTATGAAAATAAGCCTAGTGATGGGCGTGGCTATGAAATAAGCCCTAGTGATGGGCGTGGCTATGAAAATAAGCCCTAGTGATGGGCGTGGCTATGAAAATAAGCCCAGTGATGGGCGTGGCTATGAAAATAAGCCTAGTGATGGGCGTGGCATGATAATAAGGCCCCATGATGGGCGTGCTATGAAAATAAGCCCAGTAATGGGCGTGGCTATGCAGCCACATCTGCACAACCCATGCATGTCCTCACGGAGCGGGAAGAACACGAGCAGCCCTTCTCATCTGCCCCTTGAGAGCTCTAGTGCTTGACAGGAGAGATTGGGGCCAATGGTTCCAAAGGAAATAGAGTCGCAAGACATTCAGGATGGAATTCGGGGTTTGGAGAGTGAGGATGATGTTCCAGAAGAAGACGACTTAACTATTTTGAATCAATGTAACGGTTGTACCGTACTTAAAAAAAAAAAAACAACATCCCTAAAAATAACCCTACTAGGGTGTCTTCTTGAGGAAAAATCAATGTAAGACCCTGTGTTATTTTCAAGGAAACATGGAGGGCAGACATTGAAAATTATGGGTGGAATATCTAATAACATGAAGAAAGATTTGTGGTATTATTACGGAGAAAAACAACATTGAAACAACAATAGATATTATATTTCCATATTTATGACAATATTTCTGTGTGTTAATAAGACTGCAAGTTTGGCAAACATGATTGACCATCTTCCATTCACGATCCTGTCTCTTTAGCACTCCTTGCAGCTGAGGGTGTTTAGAAAATGAGACATTAAGCAAGAAGTCTGCTAGGTGGTGTTTTTTTTTTTTGGTTGTTCCTGATTGAAAGGGGCAGATTCATTAACAGGTCCCTTTTTGTGTTTATCCTTACCTTCCTAATGCAACCATCATGCCTAGAAGAGTAATAGCTTACCATGTCCTTGGAGACAAAAAAACAAACGGTAAGAACAGTAGAAGAAGACCAAAATGTCAGCTCCATCCTGTTCTCCAAAGACTTGGAGGAAGCCACCATTGGTTGGATTTCTTTACTTTGCAGCTGAAAACACATTCCTGATACACAGGCGATTCTATTTTTATCATTTGCTTGTTCGTAGCTTTACATTTTATATCATAAATATGTACTGTTTTCTAATAAGGAAAAGAAAGAAAACTAGATCAAGAAACAAAGAGGTTAATATCCTTCAGAAAAAATCTGCTGAAGGGTGTGAGTTGGAGACTCAACTCATCAAGGAACAGGAGCAAAGAAAACATGACAATGATAGGATTCTTAGAGTGGCTGAACACTATTAACCATTTCATTCTCTGCAACATACGCTGTTTATTGTTATAAATATTCCATTTTCTAGTCAGGGAACATTAAGATCTACTATGGTGCAGGTACTACCTAAGGCATTGAGAATCCAAACATTGAGATAGCCCATGACCAAGAGGAACCTAACAAATAAATAAAGAGAAAAACCCAGAGAAAAAACATCTTGCCTTAATAATTAATATACCATTTAATTAGTGGAGAACTTGAAATGCAGGTCTCTTGACCGCTAATGACCTTTAGCACCCTACCCTATGCTTATAATCATGCATATCTGGATAGAAGATGAGAAAAAGTACTCTGGTAGGAATGTTTAAGAAGGATGAATTGGATGGGGCCAAAAAAAAAAAAAAAACAGGAGCTAGACTTTGTTCTTACATTAACAAGCACTTACAGCAAATAGGGCTATTTCCCTAAATCAAGGGAAAGTTCTCTTGAATGGGGCAGAGAAGGTTCCAGTTTTGTCTATCTGTACCACACTGAATCAATTAATTGATCCACGACCACGATAGTAATCTCAGCCAACCACGATAGCAGGGTAAGAAAACAAGCTAGTGCAATCGGCTGTTAGGTACACAGGCAACCCTGAGAAGTCAATGACAACCTGACCTATTATTCACCTTTTAACCATGTCCCTGGGATCCATGTAGACACGATCTAAGAATGGTCCGTATGAATCCATGGAGTTTCACTGAAACAGAGTTAAGACTTTGGGTCATGTGCAGAACAGCAGGTACCATTCCAGACAGAGCAGCCACGTTGCCT